GTACTGTTTAACGTTGTTGCGTACTGTTTAACGTTGTTGCGTACTGTTTAACGTTGTTGCGTACTGTTTAACGTTGTTGCGTACTGTTTAACGTTGTTGCGTACTGTTTAACGTTGTTGCGTACTGTTTAACGTTGTTGCGTACTGTTTAACGTTGTTGCGTACTGTTTAACGTTGTTGCGTACTGTTTAACGTTGTTGCGTACTGTTTAACGTTGTTGCGTACTGTTTAACGTTGTTGCGTACTGTTTAACGTTGTTGCGTACTGTTTAACGTTGTTGCGTACTGTTTAACGTTGTTGCGTACTGTTTAACGTTGTTGCGTACTGTTTAACGTTGTTGCGTACTGTTTAACGTTGTTGCGTACTGTTTAACGTTGTTGCGTACTGTTTAACGTTGTTGCGTACTGTTTAACGTTGTTGCGTACTGTTTAACGTTGTTGCACTGTTTAACGTTTTACCACGGCTTGACAGATACTTTACCACAGATTTCTCTTTTTTTAGGTCAACGTTTTTTACGTCATGAATACAGCAATGATGATATCAACATGGAGGTCTTGACGTCACGGCTAGCCGAGCAAACTCGTCACCCACCCCCTGGGGAGGGYAGTGTGCCAGACACACCCAGGTCCGACTCAGAGGGGATTCAGAAGTCTGTACAGGATTTCTCCAGCCCCGAAGCACTTCAGCAAGTCAGCAGTTCTAATAATAACGATTCAACGTCACCTTCAGCCAATGGGAATACATTATCACCAAATAACCTACGCCCTACTAACCCCACCCCTGCACATGCTACTGGAGATGGTACACCTACCCCCCTAAGACCAAACAATCCAACACCTGCACATGCCTCGTCCAAACCTGTGAATGTCAGACCCAGTAATCCTACGCCTAAACATGCCGCTGATCAAAGAGATGGACTAATAACCARTGACTCGCCCAATTACGACGCGACGCAATGGAGGAGTAACTTGGAGTCTGTTCAGGAAGTCGTGCAGCCCGAGGAGGATCATGGGATAAAACAGGGGGACGAATCATATGAAAATAGCGATGTTATGATTGTTACTCGTAAGTACAGCAATTGACTAATCATTTAAACAACAATTATTCCCTGACTGGCCAATATTGTTCTTTTCATTTCGTTTTTAATTAGAAATCTCTATAAATGTTTGTTTCGGCAATCGACTGCAGGTAGACTCTGCTAGAAGAGTGTCTCTTTTATGCAAAGCAAGGTACTCTCTAGTCGACGATTGGATGCTATCTTGGCCCAAAATTTGTTGTGACATCAAATAAAYTTTAGTCTATAGACCATTCTATTACTGTTTTGGTCATCGATTGTTATAAGTAACGTAATGTAACCAAGACAACCTCCAATGTGTGCTCTATTTATGCCTAATGCATGTCATATATTATCAAATGATAGCCGGTAATCCAATGATTGGAGCTAAGAGTTTGTACATGGATGTAACGGGGGTTGCAAGAAAGGACAAAGTTAAACTACCTGCCTCGATTCTTAGCTCGAAACCAGGAGCTTTACCCAACACACAGGTACAGTCAGTCATTTATTTGTTTATCCATTCATCCGTTTTTCCTGCTGTTCATTCATTCTTCAACCATTTCTTCCGAGGAATTTTCGTTTCAATTGTTTTCAAGCTAAGTTGAACGTAAAAGTTGAGCGTAAATTGTCTAAAATTGGTTTCGTTATTAATGATTTAATATGATGTATTTTTATTTTTCATACACAAGTACTTCCCTCCAAAATTAGTACATTGTTCTTTTCCAAATGATAATAATTTATACTATATAATATATTTATAATATATTACATGCGCAGTTTATAGAGACTGAGGACCCAGTGCGCAGGCGCGTCAATACCGTGTCTGTTGCTGGTGGCAACCAGGTAGCTCCTGGTCGTGTTGAGAGTCTACGAGGATTCGAACTCCTACCCCCTAAGGTGTCATTTGGTGTACTCAAAGAGGGCTGTACTTACATACATACTGTGCTAATGAAGAATGTCGGCATTGACAGCTGTCGATTTAAAATCAAGCAACCGCCACCGTCAACAGGGCTACGCGTCTTGTATAATCCTGGACCGGTATGTATCTTACGTGTTGTTACGTTCTCTTACCAGTATGTATCTTACGTGTTGTTACGTTCTCTTACCGGTATGTATCTTACGTGTTGTTACGTTCTCTTACAGCTATTCAAAAGGCATCATTTTTTATGAGAGCATATAGGACTTGATTGCAAACCTTTTGTCTATAGCTATGTTTTGTCTTTACAAAATACCTTTGTTGTCGTTGTAACCATTTTTTTCCAGCTGAAACGTCTTAAGATATCACGAAACTAAAAAAAATACGGCTGACGGTATCATTGATTTGATCTCAGCTCTCAAC